TATAGATTTATGGAAATGGATTAATTTAAGCTATAAGAACAGTTAGCAAGAAGCCTGCCACGGCCATACAGTTTGTAAGCAATATAAGTGTCTGTGTTTATTTGTTTGGGTCTGAGCGGCTGTGGGACTGGCGGGTGACAAAGATTTGTCCTGACTGTGGGCAAGGCAGGAAAACTCTAGCTACACCTCTGATCTGTAAGCAGCATCCTCAATTAAATGTTTCCCTTTGTAAGAGTTGTTGTGGTCATAATATCTCTTCACAGCAATAGAAACCCTAAGACAGCATGTATGTATGTTGTTTTTTTGAAGACAGGGTCTCACTATGTAGCCTGGCTGTCCTGGAACTCAACTCTGTAGACCAGGATGTCTTGAATTCACAGAGATCTGCCTGTTTCTGCCTTCTGAGTGCTGGGATTAAAGGTGTGAACCACTAAGTCTGGAGTATATATATAATTTAATACAGAGATTTATAACTCAGGCTGACCTGGAACATACTATGTATTCCAGGTGGCTTTGAACTTATGCAGTCCTGTCTTAGTCTTTTAAAAGCTGGGTTTATAAACATGCATCACTATGTCCAACTATTTAATTTTTTTTGTTCTTTTTGCAGTATTAGGGATTGAACCTAGGGCCTTGTATATGCTGAGCAAGTACTCTACCACTGAATTGCATCCTCGGTTATTAAAAAAAAATTAAAAGCTGGCTGGTGAGGTGGCTTAGTGGATAGAGAGGACTGTTGTCAACTCCTGACAACCTGAGTTGAATTCCTGGGACTCACATGGTAGAAAAAGAAAACCAGCTCCTACCGGTTGTCCTCTGACTTCCATAGCACACACACCTACTGTAATATATCATTTAAAAACAGAATGCATTTCAGACACGCTCTCATGGGGCAGGCTGGCCTAGAACTCATGTGCATGAAGATGACTCTGAACTCCTGAGCCTCCTTCTTCCATCTCCCAAGTGTTGTGATTATGGGCTAAATTTTTTTGAGACAGGGTCTGGTCTTGAGTTTTGTCTGTAGCCAGGTAGATCTTGAACTTTCAATCCTCCTGCCTCAACCTCCAGAGTAGTTGGAACTGTAAGTCTGCACACCCAGGCCTGGTTTAATATGTAAATTATGTAAACTTAAAATGTGTTGCCTGGCCAGATGTGGTGGCACATGCCACCATATCAATTAAAGTGTGTGAAGAGGACGAATGAGGTCCTTGGGTTGATTTCCCAGCAATAGAAAAAAGAACCTCTCCACATATACTACAATTAAGGTGTTTCATAAGATTTTATTATAGCTGTAGCCTATAACTTAGTCATCACCGCTAAGATTAAAGATTTCTTCATCAAGCACTGTAGCTTTAGTGTTTGTTCCAGGAAATCTTTCCCTACCAGAGACTATAAATCAGTACAGATCTTCACGGTGAACTTAGGAACTTCCTGAAAACTCATTTATCTGAAGGGTCGATTGCTCACAAAAACAGCTTCCTTTTCCAACAGTGAGAGACTGAACTCAATTGGCCAAATCCCCAAATCCCTGTTCTCATCAAAACAAACAGAGCTGGGGATGCACAGGCCTGGATTCAATCTGCAACAACCCAAAAGGGAGTAGGAAATCTGACTTCTATCTCTTTACCTTATTGCTCAAAAACTGATACCACGAACTATGTAATGACCAGAGCTCCATCTTGAAAATGTCAGTCACCCAAACCTTAAGAATCTATAAAAATCACCTTTAACTTTTTTTTGGAAGTACTGATGAGAACGTGTCAGACTACTGTTACATTTGCCTACATTAAGAACTACGTGGCTTAGTGCAAAGGTTACCACTGTGGTCTTTTTGCGGCAATTATAGTGATGGGAGTTCACAGCCAACAAATTTGGTAAATGCTGGTTGTCTATGCTGGGAACTCAGACTCCTGTGTGTGTGCATGTGGCGGTCAGAGGACAACTTTGAGTTGTTTCTCTCCCTTCCACTGTGGGTTCTGGATTGAACTCAGGTGTTACCCATTGAGCTAGCTTGCCGGGCTGGAAACGCGTACTGTATAGTTCAAAGTAAGGCATAATGGAGTCATCAATAGATTAAATTGGTAACACAGGAAGTTAAGAAGGGAAAAACAAAAAGAAGGAATGCATAGCAAAATGAAGCTGGTAAGAACTGAAGGGATTCCTGTGTCTTCCTGTGGAATCAAAGCAGACAGCTGTGGGAACATATGAATGAGTCAGCAGTTGTTAGACTTCAAATGACCTCCTTTTCCTTATTGACTCGAGGCTGTGCTCTCAGTCTGAGCTCTTTGAGGTTAAAATTTTTTGTTGTTATTATTTATTTTGACACAGGATCTCACTGTGTACAGGCTGGCCTGGAACCAGTCACAATCCTCCTGCCTCAGCCTCCTGCGCTGAGATAATAGCTACAAACTACCACACTCAGCAATAAAATTCATTGCCTATTTACAAAGCAATCTTCAGTGGGCCTAGATCCAATTTGCCTTTGTACATTTTTTTTTTTTTTTTTTTTTTTTTTTTTTTTTTTTTGGTTTTTCGAGACAGGGTTTCTCTGTGTAGCTTTGCGCCTTTCCTGGGACTCACTTGGTAGTCCAGGCTGGCCTCGAACTCACAGAGATCCGCCTGGCTCTGCCTCCCGAGTGCTGGGATTAAAGGCGTGCGCCACCACCGCCCGGCTACATTTCTTTTTTCAAGAGTTTTTTCCTTTTATTGAAATGTTTTTTTTTCCCCCTCACATAATATATCCAGTTTCCCCTTCCTCTATTCCTCCCCACCTCTCATCCCATCCGGATCCATCCCTTTCTGTCTCTCAACAGAAGACAGGCTTCTAAGGGATAACAAAACTAAAATAAACATATTGGCACAGGACAAAACAAAGAAACAAAAGGAAAAGAGCCCAAGAGAAGGCACAAGAAACAGAGACCCATGTTTGCACCCTTGGGAATTCCATAAAAACAGTAAACTGGAAGCCATAATATATACACAAAGGACTTGTAGTGTAAAAAGAGGTAAGAAAAAATAAATAAAGTTAAAAAAAAAAAGCCCCGACACATTAGACAAAGAACCTCCAAAGATGCCGTTGAGCTGATTTTCTTTCTTTTTCCTACCGAAGGGCATGCAGGCTACCCTGGAGAGTAGCTTGTTTTCCCAGTGAGACTCCCTTGGAGAAAACTAAATTTTTATTTGCAAGGGGTTATCAAATGGAGATTGTTTCTGGGTTAGGGATGGAGATGTGAGATGTGTCCACTTCTTTGGGCTCTAGGACCCCATCTGGTGCAGACCTGTGCAGGTCCTGTGCATGCTGCCTTAGCCTCTGAATTCCTATGTGCACTGATCTTGTTGATTTAGAAAACCTTGTTTTCTTGGTGTTCTCCATGCCCTGGCTCTTACACTTTTTCTGCCTCCTCTTCTTTGGGCTTCCCTGATCCCTGAGGGGAGGGATTTGATGAAGACACCCCACTTCGGGGTGTCTGTTCCAAGGTCTTCCTCTCCTTTGTACACTTTTTTCTATAGCCCTGGCTGTCCTGGAACCACTCTGTAGACCAGGCTGACCTTGAACTCACAGAGATCCACCTGCCTCTGCCTCCCAAGTGCTGGGATTAAAGGAGTATGCTACCATGCCTAGCTCCCTCTGTATACTTCCATTCAAACTTTAAACCTCAGCAATATTTTAGCCACCAGAGCACCTTTGCATTGTTTCCTAAACTTGAAATCTCGTGTTTTCTTTTTGAATCCTGTCTCCCAAATTTATTCATTCCATTCTTTTTTTTTTTTTTGGACAATGCCTCAACATGTCTGCCTATTTGGCCTAGAACAATGTAGACCAAGTTGGCCTCAGACTCCCTAGTGCGGGGATTATAGGCATACACCAGTCTAAATTCCTAACTACCACCACAAGCTAGGCATTACTTCCTCAGGAAACACTTCGCCACCAAGCAGAATGTGGTTCTGTAGCACTGTATACACACGTGCCTAACATGGCACCAGACATCATATACGGGGCATCTGTCCCAGAGCTGAGTTTGTCCAGGGCAGATCCAGTAACTTCCACATACTTCCACCTCTGAGCTCCAGAGAACCGGGCAAATGGTGGGGGCATGATACATGTTGTTACTTGAGCTACACGGAAGAGCGACTGGAAGATCTGGGATGTGCACAGTTGGGTATCTTGTGTGTGTGGGGGAGCTCTTCCAGCCCTGAGCTGCCCAGTTGCCATGGGGTGACCATGACGTCACAGAACTGTGCGGCCCAGGTGGTGAAGTCACAACAGTGACACCACACGCGTGGGCAAACTGAGTCTCGGGGAGCAGGTCCAGGGTATCCTACGCGGGTGTGGGGCGGGCGGCAGGCACTCGGCATCGGGCCCGCGGGACCTGGGAAGGGTGTGAAAATGCTTACTCACTAGGGAGCCAGGGGACCAAACGCTAGTCGCCCCGAGGCCCCGAAGCACCAACTGCTCCTTCCCGCCATTTCACTCCTCTAAGCGCCATCTCCTAGACCCCCCGGGCCATTCATCCACGGCCATCCCGACCATCACCACAGGACGGGCGCCTCCTCGGACCGCCCCCTTCTGAGGCCAGGACGATGGGGCTGACCCCGGAGGGGGCTGAGCTCGCCGGGCCCACGCCGTAGCCCTAGGACCTAAGATCCGGGCCCCACGATCACTCACGGCGCGGGGACTCCGCGCCAGCCTCACCGGAAGGCACGGCCGGAAGGGGCGGGCACTGCGCCTGGCGGGTCCTGGGCGCCATGGCGTCTCGTGGCGTCGTGGGCATTTTCTTGCTCTCCGCTCTCCCTCTGTTGTGTCTGGAGCTCCGGCGCGGGATTCCGAGTCTCGGTAAGTGTTGTCTCCCGGCCTCGGCGTCTCCCGGCCTGGGGTCTTTTCACCTGAGCGGTGGGGGCCGTGCCTTTCTGGCCATGGCGCCTCCGTGCGGCTTTGACTACAACTCCCAGAGTCCACCGCGCCCGCCCGTCTTCCGGCGTCACCTCCGTTTCGCGGGAAAAGTTCGCTCGGGCTCCGGCCAAGGTCTACTTGGGAATGAGAAGCGTGTGGACAGAAACCAACTGTTGTACTCGAAAGGCGTGATGAGAGACGGACGCAAATAAGCCGATAGCCCGGGGGCCTCCCGAGCATTGAGACTGAGCCTTGAACCTGAGGAGCCATCGCCTGGAAGGCCTTGGTGACAGCAAGATCAAGGAATGGTAGAGTCCCCAAATAGATTTATTGAATCCTTACTCTAAGTCTGTATGCAGTCTCCATCTCCACTGCTGCCGGAAGGACTTGTAGGTACTGTTAGCGTAAAACAAACAAAAAACCCCAACAAAACCAAAAAACAGATCTCACCCCAGAGGGGAATCAAATATGAATGTCCGTGGTCTGGGAACACAGATTTAGGGTACCTCAAATTCTGTGCTCCACGGTTCCATAAAGTTTTTTTTGCAGTAACAAAATAACGTCATAAAACACTTGGACTCTGGGTTGGTACATCAGGGAGATGGGTTATTGCAACGTGTAGGGAAACCTCCCAGAGGCCTCAGGTGCTGTCCACATGGCCGCCGAGCTTTTGCACTGGTGGAAGCTAGTGGTTCCCTGTGTTAGTTACAGGACGTTAGGTCAGGCATAGAGGTGGGCAGTGAGTGGCTATTTAGGGGGCTGAAGATAGCCTAAGATAATTTGTGGTTAGGTTCTGGACCTACAACATTCCAACCACTCTACAGTCTGTGGCGCACGCCTTTAATCCCAGCACTCGGGAGGCAGAGGCAGGCGGATCTCTGAGTTCGAACCCAGCCTACCCTGATCTGCATCGTGAGTTCCAGGAAAGGCGCAAAGCTACACAGAGAAACCCTATCTCAAAAAACCAAAGAAGAAGAAGAGGAGGAGGAGGAGGGGAGGAAAGAAGAAGAAGAAGAAGAAGAAGAAGAAGAAGAAGAAGAAGAAGAAGAAGAAGAAGAAGAAGAAGAAGAAGAAGAAGAAGAAGTCAGCTAATCAATATGCAATGAAAGGGGAGCTGCTTTGGGGAAACTTTTAAGTTCACAGTATAATTAAAGTCCTTCCTCTACCTTTGAGGGTATGGTCATCTGCTGAGGAGAAGTGGCTTCTTAGAGGTGGTTTTGTTGTGATTTTTCTTTGTGTGTGTGTGTGACAGAGTCTTAAACCAGCTTATGTTGACCTGCAGCTTGAAGCACGCCTCTCGACCCCGGGTACGGAGATGACCCCCGCCAGACACCATGCTTGGCTTACCCAGAGTTTTGTAAAGGGTCATTGTAGATTCTGTGTGGAGAATGTTTTGGAAGGAACCTATAGTAGAAAACAGTGAGACAAGTTAGGGGTTTCTGTAGATAAAACAGTTATGGTTGCTGGGCGGTGGTGGCGCATGCCTTTAATCCCTGCACTTGGGAAGCAGAGGCAGGTGGATCTCTGTGAGTTCGAGGCCAGCCTGGTCTACAGATTGAGTTCCAGGATAGGCTCCAAAAGCTGCACAGAGAAACCCTGTTTTTTGGGGAAAAAAAAACACCCCCCCCAAAAAATAGTTATGGTCTACAGTGAGAATTTCAGGACAGTCAAGACTGTTAACACAGAGAAACCCTGTCTTGAAAAACCAAAGGGGAAAAAAAAGTTATATTGGAGTATAACAAAACTTTTCAAGCCTTTTTTTTTTTTTTTTTTTAAATACTTTGTGTGTATGTTGATGTGGGTGCCAGCATGGGTGCATGGAGGTCAGAGGACAACTTTTTTTTAAAAAATGATTTATTTTATGTGCATTGGCGTTTTGCCTACACATATGTCTGTGTGAGGGTGTCAGATACCCTGGAACTGGAGTTACAGTCAGTTGTGAGCTGCCATGTGGGTGCTACCAGGGTCCTCGGGAGGAGCAGCCAGTGTTCTTAACCACTGAGCCATCTCTCCAGCCCCAGAGGGCCACTTTTGGAAGTCAGGATTCTCCTTCAACCTCTATGTGGGTTCCGAGGAATCAAAAGTAATCCAGATTGTCGGACTTGGGAACCAAGCACTTTTATCCAGAGTCCTCTTGCTGGCCCAACACGACTTTTATTTCAACAACGGCAGCAAGAATTCACACTCATCATTGCAAAGATCATCCGCTCTTGGCCTTACTCTGCTAATGTAGAATCTCTCACTTGGCGCTCATATTTGAATCACTAGTCAGTGGGAAGGTCATTTAGGATTGCAAGAGAGCTGCTTCCCTTCAGCGCTGACCTCAGGGCACTTGAGGGTAGAGACCACATCAGATTTGTGTTTCTGTTCCTAGACCTTATCACAGCGTTTACGAAAACTAAGCCAAGAGTTGGAGAAAATGCACCTGGCCTTCTGGCGGCAGCTCGTGCTTTGGGACATTCCACTCTGGCCTCCTTTGCTGTGCAGTGGCAGTGGTTTACTTTTGCACACTCTCCCCCCCGCTGGGGTTCTTGATCTGGTAACAGTGTTTAAGTCTGTGTTAGCAATTCCATCTCCCAGTGCAACAGCTGCGGTGCTAATCAGGTTGCCAGAGGAGCACACCTAATGGCTAGTGATGTTCTTAACTATGTAATTCCTTCTTTAAATACTCTTCAGTTGGGGCTGGGGAGATGGCTCAGTGGTTAAGAGCACTGGCTGCTCTTCCAGAGGATCCGGGTTCAATTCCCAGCAGCCCTATGGCATCTCGCAACTTTCTGTAACTCCAGTTCCAGGGGATCCGACACCCTTACAGACACACATGTAGGCAAAATATCAATGCACACAGAATAAAAATAAAGTATTAAAAAAAAAAACCAAAAATAACCTTCAGTTAAAGGACCACTCAGACCTAGACCTAATCATATGAGTAAGATGGTTCTTCTGTGCGTGCCAAGCTTTAAAAATAAAAAATAAAACCATTCTGGAATGAGGTTTCAGGGCCAAACAAAACAAAACAAAGGAACAACAACCTTCTAAAAACTCAGGATAAATTTTGATCCTACTGTGTATCTCTTCCCTCAGCATTTAACAGATTGTGTGACAGACTGATGCTCTTACTTTGTTTTGTTTTGTTTGTTTGGCTTTTTTTTTTTTTCTTTCTTTGAGACAGGGTTTCTCTGTGTAATTTTGGTGCCTGTTCTGGATCTCGCTCTGTAGACCAGGTTGGCCTGGAACACACAAAGAGATCCACCTGCCTCTGCCTTCCAAGTGCTGGGATTAAAGGTGTGCGCTTCCACACTTGGCTGGTGCTCTTAACATTTTGACAATTGGCTCTTTGCCTGGGCTCTCAGAACAGTGTAAGAAGTACTGAATTATTACCTTCCCGCCAGAGTAAACGTGTGAGTAGTAGTTTTACGTGTAAATGAGGAAGTGCTGGGAACTAGAGAAACACACATTGGCACAATTCAATCCTGAGAAAGAATTTGGCGTTTCAGGGGCTAGGCAGGAGTGTATAGCTCAGTAGAGAGAAGTATTCTTAGAAGGCTGGCGGCTAAGGCCCAGTACCAAATAAGTAAATAAGCCAATAGACGTTTCGGGCCAGCAGGACTGCTCCATTAGTAATGGTGCTTACTGCCAAGCTTGATGCCCGGAGTTGGAGTCCTGGAACCCACGTGCAGGAGAGGGAGAGCTGAGTCTTGCAAGTTGTCCTCGGACCTCGTGTGCATGGAGGGGTGCACTCTGCCTCTACTCCGAGTGCCCCAAATAACACATTCTTGAAAAAAAAAATTAATATCTTTTTTGGGAATGACTATTTAGAATAGAACTGGAATTAGACAAGATACTACTCTCAATCTTATTTATAAGGAAACCAAATCTTGGGCATTATTAATACTCATAACATTTCTAATACAGCTGAACACTGTCTTCCTAACACAGGATGTTTCTTGTAGAATTAGTTTGTGTTTGTTGTGGTCGTGAAGGTCAGGCTGAATTCTAGTGCCCCAGTAGACTTAGGAAAACAGTCAGGACACTTGCATCATTTAGCATTCTTTCTAGAGCAAACAATCTCTCATTTCTTATTAGTAGCAAGGAGAGGGAGAATTTTTCTTCTAAAGAAAAATGTCTTGTTTCAATTTTTCTTTCTAAGGAATTAAAGATCTCGTTTTGTTGAGTGGCCGGATATTCCTGCTGCTTGCCCTGCTGACGTTAGTCATTTCTGTGGCCACCTCCTGGATTAACTCATTTAAGCCACCTCCCCAAGTTCACCGGAAAGGTATGTTTATTACGTGTGTTACCTTTACATTTTTTATTCACTAAAAAAAAAAGTAACCTTTTCTACTCAAATTTTTTTCTTTTGTTTATTCAATAATAAAAACTGTTTGACCATTAATTTATTTTGTTTATTTTTTTAAATTTATTTTCTGTATATGAGTGCTCTATCTGCATGTACATCTTTAATCCAGAAGAGGGCATCAGATCCCACTATAGATGGTTGTGAGCCTCCATGTGGTTACTGGGAATTGAACTCAGAACCGCTAGAAGAGCAGTCAGTGCTTTCTTTCTTTCTTTCTTTTTTTTTTTTGTTTTTTCGAGACAGGGTTTCTCTTGTGTAGCTTTGGTCCCTGTCCTGGAACTCACTCTGTAGCCTAGGCTGGCCTCGAACTCACAGAGATCTGCCTGACTGCCTCCTGGGTGCTGGGACTAAAGGTGTGCGCTACCACTACCCGGTTAAGAGTCAGCGCTCTTAACCGCTGAGCCATCTCGCCAGCCCTTGACCATTAATTTATGATGTGTAATCTCAAGTGGGAGCCCTGTGGGTTCCAGGGGTGGAACTAAGGTCATGAGGTTTGGCAGTGTCTTTACCCACTGAACTACCTTACCAGCCTTAGGCGCACTAAACGCCGTGGGATAGAGATAGCTCAGTGGTTAAGAGCACTGACTACTCTATTCCTAGCATCCACATGGTGTCTCATAACTGTCTGTAACTCTAGCTCCTGGGGTTCTGACACCCTTTTCTGGCCTCCATGGGCACTGCACGTATGTGGTACACAGACATACATGTAGACAGAACACTCATACACAAAATTAAAAATAAAACCAAACACCACCAACAGCAAAACTGTATTGCACTTGGCCTTGTAACAGATTACTTTAAAACTAACATCTGTTTTTTAAATGTAATTAACAACAGCTTCCCAGTTGTGGGGCATTTACCTACCACCCCAACAGTTCCCCAGAGTTTTCTTGAGTGCGAGCAGCCGGAAATATTAGATAGAAGGATTTATAGCGGAGAGAAACAGAAAATAAAGGATAGCCTTAAGAGGTCCTGGAACCTATTCCAACAGGCCCCTACTGTCTCTGGCCCAGGGTTTTTATAGAGACGCCAAGGGGTGGAGCAAAAGACCTCATCCCCCAGCACAGCCAAGTGCAGACCATCTCAGACACCTGCACTCAGACCCGTGGTCCTGATCATTCTCTATGCGGACCTGCTGGGTAAAGCCACGAGGAACCCGAGAACGGGCTCCCACACCCAGTAATGGATTTGTTTTTGTTTTTTAAGATGGGGTGTCCTATAACCCAAGCTGGCTTGGTACATACTATATGTATAGCTGAAGATGACTTTGAATTTCTGATCCTCCTGCCTCCACCTCCTGACGGCTGAGATCACAAGCATGCACCAACAAGCCTGGGAGTGTGTGGTGCCGGGGATCTAGCTCAGAGCCCTGTGTGTGTGTGCTAGGCAAGCCTGTGTGTGTGTCTACTAACCAGGTTACACCCTCAGCCTCTGTAGTTTATTGCTTTTAAAATATAAATAAATATAACGAATGGTATAAATTTATAGCCTTTTCACATTAACCAGGCAAAAAAACGTAATTGCAAAAGATTATTCAACCCAATAATATATGACAACATGGATGCTTTGGGGATTGCCGATCATAGTTGGTATTTTCTCTGCTTTGATCTCTTATACTTCAGCTGACTCAATTTGGAAATTAAACAAGAACATTGTAGTTTCCATTAGCAATTTTATGTGAGTTGTATTTTCAGAGCTTGTTGTGAACCTCAGTTATAGAAGCATGAACAGTTTCAGTCCTTAGCACTCCAAAAAAAAATCAAATAAAAAAATGAAAGTATGTTGCTTGCTTGGCAAGCCCCTGAGGTCTGCTGTTTATGAAATGTGCCCTTGATGGTTCCTGCCCTTGAAAACGGTTTGTTTGCATTATTTGAGTGTGAGTCATGTGGCTCATTTATGGGTTGGCAGGTTATTGGCCTCCTCTTCACTGAAGGCTGATGCTTCCTAATATGTGATATTAAAACTGTTTAGCTGGGCCGGGCGGTGGTGGCGCTCGCCTTTAATCCCAGCACTCGGGAGGCAGAGCCAGGTGGATCTCTGTGAGTTCAAGGCCAGCCTGGGCTACCAAGTGAGCTCCAGGAAAGGCGCAAAGCTACACAGAGAAACCCTGTCTCGAAAAACCAAAAAAAAAAAAAAACAAAACTGTTTAGCTGGGTGTGGTGATACATGCTGCTGCTAAGGCCGGAGGATTCCCAGTTCTAGGCCAGCCAGGGCTACGCAGAGAGACCCTGTCTCCAGAAAAGGGAATTTGTTATATAAAAATATAAGTTAGTGAATTGTTTCAGAACAGAGCTTTTATTATAGTTCATATGCAAATGTCTTCATTTTTACTGGTTGAATGAATGTACCTTATTTTCATTATTTGAAAAAATTAGGTAGTGCTAATGTCTTTCAGAATGTTGAAACCTATAGACTATTCTTAGAGAAAAAGTATTTGATTCTTTGATACTTGAGAATAAGAAAGTCCTTTGATGTTTTGGTATCAGAAGGAGAAGAAGAGAATGAGAAAAGACAAAGACTGGCGAGGACGAAGCAGCAGGAGGCCCAGGGTGAGCAGGTAAGGCTGGCCCTCAGGACTCCTGGGCGCCGTCTCGCTGTGTCTGGATGGTTACTGATGTCTAACTCACATGGCGTAAAATCACAAGGTCTCATTGTGTAGGCTGACCTTGGATGCTAGTCTCCTGCCTCCGCTCCCTCCCTTCCTGCTGGGATTACCATGTTCATTGATGTGTGTGACGTGTGTGCATAGAGTTGGTTCTCTCCTTCCACTCTGTGGGCCCCAGGGTTTGAACTCGGCGGTGGTCAGGCATGGTGGCAGGGACCTTTACCCACTGACAGTTGTGTTTGCCATGACCACTGTTGAAGCCAATGATGTCCCCAATCTCAGGATCCCCCTGAACTGAGTTTCAGCAGCCTGAGTGCTGAGATCAAAGGTGTGTGCCACCGCGCCTAGAACATCGTTGTTTTACATGTGTAATTTTTTTTTTTTTTTTTTTTTTTTTTATTTTCGAGACAGGGTTTCTCTGCGTAGCTTTGCGCCTTTCCTGGAGCTCACTTGGTAGCCCAGGCTGGCCTCGAACTCACAGAGATCCGCCTGGCTCTGCCTCCCGAGTGCTGGGATTAAAGGCGTGCGCCACCACCGCCCGGCCATGTGTAATTTTTTGTTGTTGTTGTTATATCTGAGTCTTGGTCACTGTTCTGTTGCTGTGAAGAGACACTCTAACCAAGGCAACTCTTATAAAAGAAAGCGTTGAATTGGGGGCTTGCTTACAGTTGCAGAGGCTCAGTCCATGATCAGCATAGCAGGAACATGGTGTCAGGTAGGTGTGGTGCTGGAGAAGTAGCTGAGAGTTTTATATCTTGATCCTCGGGTAGCAGGCAGAGTGAGAGATGTGGGGCCTGGCATGGGCTTTTGATGCCTCAACGCCTACCCCCACTAACACGCCACCTCCAGTGAGGCCACACCTCTTAGAGTGACTAAATATTCAAATATATGATTCTGTCTTAGGGTTACTGTTGTGAAGAGACACCATGACCACAGCAACTCTTATAAAGGAAATCTAACTGGGGCTGGCTTACAGGTCACAGGTTTCGTCCATTGTCCTCATGGTGGGAAAGCATGGCAGCCTGAGGCAGACATGGTGCTGTAGAGGGAGCTGAGAGTTCTACATCCGGATCTGTAGGCAGCAGGAAGAGAGAGAGTCTGGGCCTGGCTTGGGCTTCTGAATCGCTCAAAGCCCATCCCCAGTGACACACTTCCTCCAATAAGGCCACACCTCCTAATAGTCCCGCGCCCTAATGCCTAAGCATTCAAATATATGAGCCTCTGGGGGCCATTCCCATTCACACCACCACACCTTTCACACCTTGTTCTGATTTGTAACTTCATCGACAATGGGAATGTGTAGAAACATTAATGTATAGTAATAACACTTTTTCTCTTAAACAGGCCAGCAGATATATACAGAATGTTTTAAAACCTCAGCAGGAAATGAAATTGAAAAAACTAGAAGAACGCTTTTATCAAATGACGGGTGAAACCTGGAAATTAACTACTGGCCACAGACTTGAGGTTAGAAAACACTGGTTTTATATTTTGAGTCCTATTATATGTTTCCTGTGTGTGTGTGTGTGTGTGTGTGTGTGTGTGTGTGTGTGTGTGAGAGAGAGAGAGAGAGAGAGAGAGAGAGAGAGAGAGAGAGAGAGAGGAGGAGAGAGATGCTAGAGTTCAATGCCAGATGGATGTCTTCCTCCTCCCCTCCACTTTGCTTTGGAGATATGTAGCTAGAGTTTTTCCTGCCTTGCCCACAGTCAGGACAAATCTTTGTCACCCGCCAGTCCCACAGCCGCTCAGACCCAACCAAGTAAACACAGAGACTTATATTGCTTACAAACTGTATGGCCATGGCAGGCTTCTTGCTGACTGTTCTTATAGCTTAAATTAATCTATTTCCATAAATCTATACCTTGCCACGTGGCTCGTGGCTTACTGGCATCTTCACATGCTGCTTGTTATGGCGGTGGCTGGCAGTTTCCTTCCGCCTTCCTGTTCTTTCTTTTCTCCTCTCTGTTAGTCCCACCTATACTTCCTGACTAGCTACTGGCCAATCAGTGTTTTATTTATTGACCAATCAGAGTAATTTGACATACAGACTATCCCACAGCACTGATACAGTTTCTCACTGAACCTGGAGCCCATAATTTCAGCTACACTGGCTGGACAAGTCGGGGCCCTGAACCACTTGGGTCACCCCGGCACTGGGATTCTAGTCTGTATCACCCCACCTTTTTTGTACATGGTGCCAGGAATCTACACTTGAGTCCTCAGGGGCAGCAAGTGCTTTCTCACTGAGACATCTTCCAGTCCTGTGTTTCCTTTTAGACATATTGCCAAGCCCCATATTTGTGCTCAGGTTTCCTTTTATGTATTGTGTGTGTGTGTGTGTGTGTGTGTGTGTGTGTGTGTGTGTGTGTGTGTGTGTGAGTGTTGTATTTGGTAGGGTTTTGAGTCGGGGTCTCACTCAGGCCAGCCTTGAGCTCGTTTTGTAGCCTTCGCTGACTTCAGACTTAGCTCTTCTCCTGCCTCTACCCCTTAACTGCTGGATTCTAGACATGCACCGCAATGCTTGACTCTCTATGAGTTTTTATTTAGTGCATTTGTGTGTGAAGTGGTTAAGTGATTTTTTTTTTTTTGTACCTGTGATAATGTATTGTTTGAGAAAACTATTGAATAACACTGTTCTGAGGAACTTCTGATCTTTGCTTAAGTAAAATATCCAATATCCAGAGTATTAAACTCACATTAAAAATTGATTTATTTTTATTTTATGTGCATGAGTATTTTGCTTGCATATATGCATGTGTACTCAGAAGAGCGAGTCAGAGTCTCTGAAACTGGAGTACATGGTTGTTAGCCTTCATGTGTGTGCTGGGAGCCAAACCTGTGTCGTCCGTAACAGCAGCAAGTGCTCTCTTGGGCCGAATCATCTCTCCAGCCCCAAACTCACATTGTGTTCATCATGCTGGGTTCTGTTTTTGAAGCCATTGGCATTGATACTTATTTTTTTATTTGGTAATGGGGGTTTAACAGGTTAACTATTTCTACAGAGAAAAGGCTTTACGGTTTAGAGTCCTGGTGACATATTTTATGTTAATGCCACTATTTTTGTGCCTTTTGTTTTGTGTTTCCTGCTTATGCTGCATCTTCCATGATCTTGTCAAGAAAAGGGTGCAGGAAAGGTGACCAGGGTGCTGATGTACAGAGCCAGTTCTTTGTTGGTTCACAGTGGCCAGTATGCCCTCAAACAGTCAAGGGCAGGTAATAAGTAACACTGATAGCCAAGCTGGCCAGCGTTCCATGCCACTGTGCTGTGCAGTGATTTCCTGTGTATGTGGGTGCATGTATGGCATGTGGACCCGTGATGAGGCCAGAGGACATCAAATGGGCTTTGTGTCACTTTTCCACCTAACCTATTTTTCATTTCATTATTTTATTTGTATGGGTGCTTTGCCTGCCTGTATTCTGTATACTACATGCATAGCTTGTGCCCACAGAGGCCAGAAGAGGGCATTGGCTCCCCTGGAACTGGAGTTAAAGATGGTTGTGAGCCAAGCTTCTTGAGGAGCTGAGAGCACAGGTGTGCACCACCATGCACCACTCTGCCCCGTCCAACAGGCTGCTTTCAGCCTGACAGGTCTCTTCAGTGGTCACAAAGGACTTAGTCAGTAGTACTCCTGCTGTTATGAAATGATTAGTGGTGTCAGCGGAGATCCAGGAGCAGGGTAAACTGGTGGTGCGGCTATTTTAGGGCTTGGGGACCATCAAAGAGTGTGAGAATCGTGGTGTTAGAGTCGTGTTGGATGTGTTCAGTTTATAATGAAGAAGCCTGGGCTTGACTAGTGAACTGCTTTGGCATTACAATCTCCATCCCCGTTCCCATGTTCTTCTCACACAGTTTTCTTGATAAAGGAAGGGTGATTCAACTCCACTAGTGGTGAATATTTTAATTCTATGAAAAGGGTTCCCCCCTCCACCTCCCTCCCTCCCTCCCTCCCTCCCTCCCTCCCTCTCTCTCTCCCTCTCTCTCTCTCTGTTGTTTTTCGATTTTTTGAGACAGGGTTTTTCTGTGTAGCCCTGGGTGTCCTGGAACTCTCTCTGTAGACCAGGCTGGCCTCCAACTCAAAGAGAGCTGGAATTAAAGGTGTGTGCCACCACTGCCCAGTGGAAAAAGGTTCTTAAAAGGTTAGTAGGTGAATAAAGGAGTTACTGAGCCTGTATTTGAAAACTCGGCATTAGTGTTTGGTTGATATCCTGGGATGCCTGCTCTTTTCTGGGGGAAGATGGGGGTGGGAGGAACTGGGAGGCATGGAGGGAGGGGACGCTGCCGTCAGGATGTACTGTGTGAGAGAAGAATAAATAAAAATTGAAAAAGAAACTTCCGCATTAAATTATGTTGCTGAGGAGAAAGTTTTAGTGAGGTATGTTAGTTGCTTTTGTATCTTTGTGTTTAAAATGCTTTAGAGAACAATTTACAGAGTTATTTTTGTTCAGTTTCACAGAGGTTAGTCCACTGTGGCTGGAGGGCTTGGAGAACAGAGCAGAGCACTGTAGCGTGGAGACCAGAAGGCAGAGGGTGTACACGTGGAAGTCAGTCAGGTCAAGATAGAGCTTTAAGGACATGTTCCCGGTGACCTGTTTCCTCCACTTCAACCCCACTCCCATCTTTCCACACTCCCCAAAAAGTCATCATGTTCTTGATCCATTAGGATCCATTTTCTAGATCAGAACCTTTTATGTAATGGAATTGTTCTCAGAGAGACACACTGGGAGGTGGGCTTTACTAATCCTGTGGAGGTGTTGTATCTAGGTGGTATTGTTGGTATTTGCTCTTTTGGGGGCCTGCCAACCAGCTTCCAAATAAGTCACACACAGAGGCTTATTCTTAATTATAAATGCCCAGCTTTAACTTGGCTTGTTTCTTGCCAGCTTTTCTTAAATTAACCTGTCTGTCTTTTGCCTCTGGGCTTTTAGCTTTCTCTTTCTTTTCTTTTCTTCTCTTCTCTTCTCTTCTCTTCTCTTCTCTTCTCTTCTCTTCTCTTCTCTTCTCTTCTCTCTCTCTCTCTCTCTCTCTCTCTCTCTCCTTCTCCCTCTCCCTCCCTCCCTCCCTTCCTCTCCCTTTCTTTCTAGATTTATTTATTTATTATGTATACAGTGTTCTGTCTGCATGTATGCCTGCAGGCCAGAAGAGGGCACCAGATCTCATTACAAATGGTTGTGAGCCGCCATGTGGTTGCTGGGAATTGAACTCAGGACCTCTGGAAGAACAGCTAGTGCTCTTAACTGCTGAGCCATCTCTCCAGCCCCACCTTTCTCTATTTCTGTATACCTTTCTTACTCCATTGCTGGTTGTGTAGCTGGGTGGCTGGCCCCTGATGTCCTCCTCTTCCTCTGGCTCTTCTCTTTCTCTTCCTATGTATTCTTTCTCTGCCTGCCAGCCCTGCCTATCCTTTCTCCTGCCTTGCTATTGGCCGTTCAGTTCTTTATTAGACCATCAAATGTGTTAGACAGGCACAGTAACACAGCTTCACAGAGTTGAACATTACAACATAAATAAAAGTAATACACCTTAAAATAATATTCTATAACACTAAGTGATGAGTGGAACCATTGCAGTAGATGGTAGTGTAAAGTATGAAGTGTTGCAGTAGATGATAGTGTAAAATATAAAGTGTTGCGGTAGATGATAGTGTAAAGTATAGAGCATTGCAGTAGATGATAGTGTAGAGTATAAAGTGTTGTGGTAGATGGTAGTGTAGAGTATAAAGTGTTGCGGTAGATGATAGTGTAAAGAATAGAGCATTGCAGTAGATGGTAGTGTAGAGTCTAGAGCATTGCAGTAGATGATAGTGTAGAGTACAAAGTGTTGTGGCAGATGGTAGTGTAGAGTACAAAGTGTTGTGGCAGATGGTAGTGTAGAGTACAAAGTGTTGTGGCAGATGGTAGTGTAGAGTACAAAGTGTTGTGGTAGATGGTAGTGTAGAGTCTAGAGCATTGCAGTAGATGGTAGTGTAGAGTCTAGAGCATTGCAGTAGATGGTAGTGTAGAGTCTAGAGCATTGCAGTAGATGGTAGTGTAGAGTACAAAGTGTTGTGGTAGATGGTAGTGTAGAGTACAAAGTGTTGTGGCAGATGGTAGTGTAGAGTACAAAGTGTTGTGGCAGATGGTAGTGTAGAGTATAAAGTGTTGCACTTCCTAGAATACTTTGCCTTTTAGAGTGATGAGTTACCGTGTAGGTTGAATCTGAATTAGAAAACCTGATTTTTAATAGAACCAAATACTATGATTATTTTTAGTTGTGGATGTTTTGAAGTCACATACTAAGACATTCCTTTACATACACGTAGTCATGTGACTTCCTTGGGGAGACTAAAACAAGTGCCTATTTACTCAAGATAGGGCATGAGTGACTGACCAAGGAAATGATCCCATCCCAGTCTAGTGTGGTGTGCCAGTGAGTTTCCAGGCGTGTAGGTGAGCGGATACTCACAGGAGTAAAGGCAGCTGCATCACTCAAAAGCCCATGGGTGACCCTGCCTCTAAAGAGCCCTACCCCTGGGCCTTCCTGCACATCTGCAGACTGCTGTCAGAAGAGCCTCTCCCCAGCAGCAGTCCGATTCTGTCACTCCCAGGAGGGACCTTGTGCATCTGAGACTCTACTGTTCCCTGGGTCCTAGGACAAGCCTCGGGCCTCCTCCTATGGGGGTGGGGTTGATTCAGGGAAAGAGCTGCACAGCCCACCTTGTGTCCGCACGCCCCACCTTGTGTCCGCACGCCCCACCTTGTGTCCGCACACCCCACCTTGTGTCCGCACGGCACATCACCTGCACTGTCTCGCTTCCGTTGTTGAGAGGGAGAAAGGCTTTTCCTTGTTTCTGTCTGTGGAGAGCCTTGTTGTTTAGCCAGAGATGGGACACGTCTGAGGCAGAGGCCGGGCCTGCTGAAGTTCAAGGCCAGTCTGGATTCCATGAGAGCGGCAGGCCTGTCATGGCTACCTAGCAAGATCTGTGTCAGAACACAAACCAGAAACAAGATGAGCAGGGCCTTGCCGGTTCCTGTCCTCTGGGGCCTAGGGATGGCATGACGGTAACGGTAGATCCTGGAGCTCATTAGGCCTCCTGTTTTCTTGTTCAAAGAAATGATTATGCTTCAGTTTTCTGGATCTAAAAATGACTATCAGAGTTAAAAAAGTAACCATTTTAAATAGCATCTAGTCGACAGAACATGCCTCTTTAGAATTTTTCGGTTGTTTTTGACCAGGGAGACGAAGATTCGGTGCTTGAAAATTTGAGTCAGGTGTCTTTGGAAACGGCAAACAGAGAAGCGGCAAGAAGACGCAACTTGCCCAAGCTTTTAACTGAGATCTCAGCACCTGCTCAGCAGCCCGCCAAGAAGGAGGTTCGTCCAGAGCACTCACTGAGTGTGGTCACCGCATGGCCAGAGTGTGTTCTTTGGAGAGGTGGCTACTAGGGGAAGCGGAGGAGGGTGGTGTCTTCTCACCTCCTTGCAGAGGAAAAGCTGTACGGATCCTTGGTCCTGTTTAATAACAAAAATCTGAACCAAATTTAGAGGAGAGCTAGAAGATAAGTGATACTGAGTTAAGAGAATCATTTGGTTTTGTAGAGATGATAAGGATAGTGTTCACGAAGGGAAGCATTCCTTTTGGTGTTTGAAGACTTTGCTGTGTGGGTCTTTTGAGTGGTCAGTAACTTCTAGAGGTTGAATACCCTCACTTGAAATGCCTGGGATCAGAAGTATTTCAGATTTTAGGGTATTTTCATGAATGTATTGAGATACTGGGATAGGGCTCAGGTATAAGCGAGCTCATTTTCTACATGGCTTATTTACAGAAGTTTTAATCAGTGTCTCTAAGTAACTCTGGGCATAACGGCAAGGCATTATGCCTCTGTCTCCCAGGTGCCGGGACGACAGCCTGTACTACAACCCAAGGCTTTTCTTGTTTCTTCACATAGTGCATTTTTACATAATATCCTTGAACATCTTTTTTTTTTTTTTTT